ATATTTGGGGTCACACGTTTTTGCCATGGATATTTTGTGGGTCAGAAGACAAAAATTTTGGGAACCTCRGGATTAGAGCGATGATAAAATGGCTAAAGACACAGACTGTAGAGAAGAATCTGATGTGTTTTTAGATTATTTTGAGTCACTATTGAAGAGAGATGAACACGAGTCAGAGTTCAAATAATATAATTTCAATAAACAAATACCAAAGAGTTCTCTTTCTTGAATAGTTCCCCTTTGATGTCACTTCCTGTTTCACTTTGGCTGATCCAAGTTCAAAAGAAAATATGCCAGTAATGTGACCAAATGGGTAAAAATCCCATTTTATGCAAGGTTTCTTATATAAAAATMTGTTTTCTTTAAGTTTTTGTGTTCAATGGATAGGCATGTCACAGACACTTTAATTACCTCTTCAAGTTCTGCAGAAGCCTGTTAATTATCCATTCACATAAATGTGGTGTTGGAGCAGAGAAACTGCTACATCATGCTGGATAGCAGCATTTAAGCACCAGGACTGGGCTGCACTGAGATATTTAGATTCATGTTCTGAGAGCTTCAGTTCAGGTTTTTGGTTTTTGCCGTCCTTTGTCACTGACATAGTGAGGTAATAATATTTGCATGCCTCTGTATGTATGTTTGTTTTTTATCAAAAAAAAAAATCACAAACTACGGAACAGATTTTCATAAAACCTTCAAAAGCAACCAGCGTCACATTATCACTTTACTGTCCGAATACGAGGCATAAGACTGCTGAAGTACCCCCCTCAAAGTGTTGCGTTTTCTGCACGTCCGTAAGGATGAAACTATGTTCAACACCAAAGAATTGTTGAAACGCTTAAAATGAAATGCGTGCATTTATCTGGCGAATCACATCTTCATCACCTGTGTCCTCAAACYAACAAAGAGACAGTTTTGTTCTGTCAGGAAGTGTGTGAGCTCAGCGTGAGTTCTGCAGATGGGATCTCAGTCGTGGGCAGTCACACTGATGGCTCGGGGCTCTGTGGCTCACAGAAAAAAATATAAAGTGAAAAGTTCATTCCTCCATTCTGCTTTGTAAACCCTTCGTCAGTAGGAGCAGATTCATCAGTGACAAAGTCAGAAATAACACTGTTTTGTTTTAGTTTAAAAAATCCCGTACTAATGCAATATTTGGGTCTCTATTGGAATAAAATTGCAGCTGTAAATTGTTTCAGTGGCAGCCAGTGTGGCTGCAGAGGAATGTCCACTGGGGAAAGATAACCTTGGCGGTGCCTTTGGTGACAAACAAAGCTAAATCAAAGCTGCCTCTTGTTTGGGACAAGCTCTCCACGCTGGCTGCGTTGCTTCTGGTGAATTATTTATACGTGAAATTAAG